AAACCCAGATCAAGATCAGTAGTTTCGCTATTCAATAAAATGCCTACTATTGCCAAATGGATTTTGTACTCAGCTAATACAATCTACAAAAAAATATTTGTATATTTATTACTAGTTTAATATCCTTATTCAATTAAACAAATACAAATATTTTTCAGAAACATACCAATAAATTCATACATAATTGTTGTTTGCAATGTTCGCGTACGATGACTCGAGTGTGATCCAGACCCAAAAATAATATTTACAATATTAATGTAAAATCCAATCAATTCCTGGAATTCCATCCACAACAATGTCGGTAAGTAAAATGACGGCCACATTGCAACTAATTAAATGGAACAAAAAGAAAACATACAAATTAAAATAGCCGACAAGGGTATATTATTTGGACTTAAAAAAGAAAAACTATAAAATATATGTAAGTAGCTTTTATTGAAATACCTACCGATGAAAACCGCTTATTGGCAAACTACGTCTAGTAAGTGGAGCAAAATAACCACCGTATTCAGGCATTGACAATGGATGTGGCGCTTTAGATGCTGAAACTGTTAGGACAGCATCTAATGAACATACTTCAATATTTACCTCTTGACGCAACTAAAAGAAAGATAAAGACAATTATTAATTTAATAGTATGTACAAATTAATATAACTATTTTTTAACATGTTTGCAGTTTGAATATAATTCTCCTCTGTATCATTGATTAAAATATTTTCCGGCCTTGGTAATACTGATGGTCACTTACTTTTCAATGACTACTACTTACTGTCTGCATTACTTTTAAGTACTCTTAAAATCACTTACATATAAATTGATATGTATGTAAGTACTTTATTTTGAGTTTTGGCATTTAATAGCTCATTTTATTACATCGCACGCTAGCACAATAAAATAACTAAGCGGAGGTGTTATGAATATGATAGTGAACATCACCGTCTTAAAATAATGAGTTAAAATATACACAATATATCCATAGTGTGCAACCAAGGTTGCAAACACTGAAGTAACAGCGTGTGAACATCTTCACGTGCCGTTTGAAAACGAAGAATGATTTCTATTGTAAACAAATGTAGATTAAAATTTAATAACTATTTACTTTTTTTAATTAAAAATTTTTATACACAAGCAAAGCAAATTATTAAGTAAAACTTGCATACCGGAAAACATAGACATGGTTAATTCAGGACGCAATTGAGCCAAATGTTTCGATAAAAGTCTTTCAGAACGACAATATGCGCTGCTAATCAACACATCCAAAGTGCCAACTTTGTCATCTTCTAAAAGAAAAGAGAAAAAGATAAATACAAAAGTTAGATATACACTGCCTTATTCCTAAACATTTATCAAAGGTTTATAGAACAAATTTTGTATGAAAATTTGATTCACAAATATAAACAATGTCTTTAAATAGAAGCGAAATTACTATTAAACATGACGAAAAGACGGAAAGGAAATCTTTATAAAAACTTTACACAAACGTTGTTCTCTCGACAAAATTGTTTTCAATACTAAACTTTACGAATAAAATTTCACAATATAAAAACAACACCATGTAACTGGAATATCTCTACTACTCTTATTCTGAGTAACCACTCTTATTCGGAGTAATTCTCTTAATTATTGAATGCCATTTGAATAAAATAATGATATAGAAAGCGAAAGAGTTTTGGTTTTGTGATAAATGAATTTTACGTGATACAGTACGTATGAGAGTAATTTAACTTTTTTAATACTCATACGACACAAGGTTTATGAACGGAAATACATATCTAGATATTGACATATGAACCGAAAACAAATATTTAATCATGAAAGTGACTGACTGACTGACTAACTAACTAACTAACTAACTAACTAACTAACTAACTAACTAACTAACTAACTAACTAACTAACTAACTAACTAACTAACTAACTAACTAACTAACTAACTAACTAACTAACTACTAACTAACTAACTAACTAACTAACTAACTAACTAACTAACTAACTAACTAACTAACTAACTAACTAACTAACTAACTAACTAACTAACTAACTAACTAACTACTAACTAACTAACTAACTAACTAACTAACTAACTAACTAACTAACTAACTAACTAACTAACTAACTAACTAACTAACTAACTAACTAACTAACTAACTAACTAACTAACTAACTAACTAACTAACTAACTAACTAACTAACTAACTAACTAACTAACTAACTAACTAACTAACTAACTAACTAACTAACTAACTAACTAACTAACTAACTAACTAACTAACTAACTAACTAACTAACTAACTAACTAACTAACTAACTAACTAACTAACTAACTAACTAACTAACTAACTAACTAACTAACTAACTAACTAACTAACTAACTAACTAACTAACTAACTAACTAACTAACTAACTAACTAACTAACTAACTAACTAACTAACTAACTAACTAACTAACTAACTAACTAACTAACTAACTAACTAACTACTAACTAACTAACTAACTAACTAACTAACTAACTAACTAACTAACTAACTAACTAACTAACTAACTAACTAACTAACTAACTACTAACTAACTAACTAACTAACTAACTAACTAACTACTAACTAACTAACTAACTACTAACTAACTAACTAACTAACTAACTAACTAACTAACTAACTAACTAACTAACTAACTAACTAACTAACTACTAACTAACTAACTAACTAACTAACTAACTAACTAACTAACTAACTAACTAACTAACTAACTAACTAACTAACTAACTAACTAACTAACTACTAACTAACTAACTAACTAACTAACTAACTAACTAACTAACTAACTACTAACTAACTAACTAACTAACTAACTAACTAACTAACTAACTAACTAACTAACTAACTAACTAACTAACTAACTAACTACTAACTAACTAACTAACTAACTAACTAACTAACTAACTAACTAACTAACTAACTAACTAACTAACTAACTAACTAACTAACTAACTAACTAACTAACTACTAACTAACTAACTAACTAACTAACTAACTAACTAACTAACTAACTAACTAACTAACTAACTAACTAACTAACTAACTAACTAACTAACTAACTAACTAACTAACTAACTAACTAACTAACTAACTAACTAACTAACTAACTAACTAACTAACTAACTAACTAACTAACTACTAACTAACTAACTAACTAACTAACTAACTAACTAACTAACTAACTAACTAACTAACTAACTAACTAACTAACTAACTAACTAACTAACTAACTAACTAACTAACTAACTAACTAACTAACTAACTAACTAACTAACTAACTAACTAACTACTACTAACTAACTACTAACTAACTAACTAACTACTAACTACTAACTAACTAACTAACTAACTAACTAACTAACTAACTAACTAACTAACTAACTAACTACTAACTAACTACTAACTAACTAACTAACTAACTAACTAACTACTAACTAACTAACTAACTAACTAACTAACTACTAACTAACTACTAACTAACTAACTAACTAACTACTAACTAACTAACTAACTAACTAACTAACTAACTAACTAACTAACTAACTAACTAACTAACTAACTAACTAACTAACTAACTAACTAACTACTAACTAACTAACTAACTAACTAACTAACTAACTAATACTAACTAACTAACTAACTAACTAACTAACTAACTACTAACTAACTACTACTAACTAACTAACTAACTAACTAACTAACTAACTAACTAACTAACTAACTAACTAACTAACTAACTAACTAACTAACTAACTAACTAACTAACTAACTAACTAACTAACTAACTAACTAACTAACTAACTAACTAACTAACTAACTAACTAACTACTAACTACTAACTAACTAACTAACTAACTAACTAACTAACTAACTACTACTAACTAACTAACTAACTAACTAACTAACTAACTAGCTAACTAACTAACTAACTAACTAACTAACTAACTAACTAACTAACTTACTAACTAACTAACTAAATAACTAACTAACTAACTAACTAAATTTGTAAATTGCATTATAACAAAAAATATCATTTAATAATACATTTAAATATATGTGTGTTTACCAAAAAAACACTTGTTGTGATAGGAATAGATGTATAAATGTAAACAACCTTTCATTGTTTTCCTGTGTTTACTACGACATTTTTTGGCTCCACTTTATAAACATAAACCAAAATATCGGCATTTACAACTAATAATATTAAAACTACTTAAATCATGAATTCACACGTTTTCCATGTTTATCAATGAAATCCCAAACAACTAAAAAAAAAAATAGTTTACATCAATGTCTCTAATTTCTCAATTTCCCAAGCAAGCGCATTAAAGGTAAAGTTTTAAGAGTGTTTTCAGTATTCTCTTAAATGTTTGCTTTTGTATTTCATGAAACTTTTAATGGAAGTTCCAAACAAAAAAGTTTTTTCTTTTCATGTCTACAAAATTATCCTTAAAAGTAACATTAACTTGTTAAGTTCTTTCAGTCATTCGCGCGCTGTTGGATTGTTAACATTTTAAAAGAAAAAATGAACCGTTTTAAAAATTATATTTAAATTAAAATAAAATTATACATCTTTTGTGAATTAAGAAAAAATAAAGCAAAAATAATATGCCTCACAAACCTACTAAAAATCATTTTATGTACCAAAAATACTCTAGCAATATTTTACAATTATTTTTCCAATAATCAGCTCAAAATGACGAAATTTTTGAGATCCATTTTGAAAAAATTGCAGACAATTTTTTGTTAACATATTTTACTGAGAGCATTATTTGAATCGCTGGTAGGGAACTAAGGCTCTTTCAAATAAATTAGATGTTTTCCAAAATGAGATTCTTAAAAAGGCCATTCTTTGGGATACTCTAATGTACATGTGTATAAATAATCAAATCATTCATATTTATCTAATGATCTAAATCTATATATTAAGCCACCTTCCGAAATTTATTTCAGTTTTACAACATATGATTATATGGTGGGTATATAAGATTCGGTATGGCCGAATATAAAAAACAATTACTTGTTTTAATTGAATACAACAGAAAATGAAATTTCCTTACAGTCATTTTAAACACAAACAAATGTTTTCTATTTAACTTTTACTTTTCTTTGACTTTTCCAATTCGATTCCTGTTTCATAGGCATGTTAAGTATACATTCCTTTTATACATTCTAAGAAAACATAATGTAGACAAATTGATCTCTCTTCATATCGTACAACATTATTAAGTGCTTTCAGTATAAATTTTAGTGTGTCAAAGCTTGTCTAAGTACATCGAGTATTAAATGTCTGTCGCAAATGATGTTTATAGTTTATACAAATTACCCCTAGATGTATGTCCATCTTTCTATATGCATACTTCTTAAAAATTATCCTAATTCTTTGTTGGTTATTTGATTTGATTATTTGTACACATGTACATTAGAGCGTCCCAAGAAACACCCTTTTTAAGAATCTCATGTAGGAATTAATCTCAATCGAAGTTCAAAGTGATTTTCGAATGAGAGATGGGGTCAATTATGGATCAAGCTCTTCCGAATTTAAAAAATATTTTTTTATTCGAATTCTATCATAATTATGCTAAACTTTCATTACCAAGTAAGGGATTAAATTGCTTTAATTTACACAATAGCATTTTGAATCATTGCTTTTACACGGTGATGACATTGAAGGCAATTACTAACCAAGCTCGCTTACAAATAGGGAGTTGAATAAGTACTTGCATTGATCGCTTGCTAATAAGTAGTTAAGTATGTTATATATTTGTTTTTGAGTTTATATATAATCATCAAGGATATAAAAATTAAAGTTTTAAAGAAACTAAAACATTCTGTAAAAATTGGCTAAAGGGTATATCTTTTTTAATTGTGAAGAACACACAAAACTTAAAGGAAAATCGTAAACTCAAGTAAAATATATTAAAACATACATTTGTGTTTTATTATACGATTGAACAAAACTGACTCCCACCTTTATATGAGGTTTAATATCGTTATCTACCTCCAACAATCAAAGGGTAAAAAATACACAGAAGAAACTAATAACTATTTTGCATCGTACTATTCTGGATATCTTTGAATAGTGCAATTAATATGAACAAAAATTAAAAAGAAAACTGACCATCTAAAACTCTTGTATTCCATTAAATGTGAAAAATGAAAAAGACTTAATTTTAAAGGCAAATCAAAGCCACATCAACAAATTTGTAAAAGCAGCGAAATATGAAATTTCGAAAATAATTTAAAAATTTCAAACAAAATCTTGTTTCACATTTGATGCAAACGAAAATTACAACTAAATTAATCATAATCGCAGCAAGAACATAGATTTAAAATGACACAACAGTGCCACCAGCAATAACTCCTCAAAAATTACAACGAAAAAAGTGCACAAATTTAAGTGAAATTAACTATTCAAAATATAACAAAATTATACAATCTATAGGACAACAAAGACACCATTAAAAACAAAACCTTATCAATACTAATATCAATTTATTGTTCTTAATTTGAGGGCAAATAAAATTAATATTATTACAATTACTATTAACACAACGACCCCTGGTAAAACTACTCGTTAAGTGTGTTAGCAACACTTTACAAAAGGAAACAATAACATCATAATGACAACAACAAGCAACATAATAAAACACAACCAATATTATTATCACAACCAGCACCATTTTGCCACCAACTTGGCCAGATATGTATGAAGTGACAACCACTAGCACAATCAGCAACACAACAAACTCAAGTTCTTTGGAAATAAACAAAAACTTTACAAATCCTTTAAAAAATCTGATTCTATATATATAAAAATGAATGTGTGTTTGTTTGTATGTTTGTATGTTTGTATGTTTGTATGTTTATATGTTTGTATGTTTGAACGTTATAGACTACTAAACGGCTGAACCGATTTTATTCAATTTTTCACAGCGTATTCCTGTATGTCTGGAATAGGTAATAGGCTACTTTTTATTTTGAAATTCCAAGTGGGCGAGGAGCCACGCCTATATTAAACAAATATTAAATCCGTATATTTTAGATAATATAACAGTTAGAGTCCTCAAATTTTGTCGGAGCAACTTTAGTGTCAACATAATTATTTAGGACAAAAAGTAGGCGGACTATCATTAGGGGGCGTGGCACCTCACATATAAATTAAATACAAAAATACGTTTATCTTGGAAACTATTACAGTTAGAATCTTCAAATTTTGCACGAAAAACTTTAACATGCATCTAAACATTTTAGGTAATAAATTGGCGGACTACCCATGAGGAGAGCGGCACCTCCCATATTAATTAAAGACAAAAACGTTTATTTGGAAAACTAATGGAACTAAATTCTTCAAATTTCGCACGAAGAACTTAAATATGCAACTGAAGATTTTGGAGGAAAAAAAGTGGACTTTCATATGGGGGGTCTTGAAGCCCCCACATGAATCAAATAGAAAAAATCTAATATCTGAGAAACTATTAGAGCTAGAATCTTCAAATTTTACATGGAGAAGTTTGAAATTCATGTGGACATTTAGGGCATAACGGTCGGACTTTCAATGGGTGGCTTGGCACAACATGTATGAATTAAATACAAAATTTCGTGCATCTTGGAAACTCTTATATTATTCAAATTTTTTATAGATAGATATAAATTGGCGATGGATAGAAACTGGCGAACTTGCAATAAGTTTCTTGACATCTTTCATATGTAACATATAATAAATCTGGTATTTATTTATAAATATTCCTTTTAGGGTAGCAAAGCACACTGGGTATAGCTAGTACGTTAATAAACAACACCACCAGTATTAACAATGACACCTACAATGAGGAGAGTGAAATGTTACAATCCATCGAATATATTTGAACTGTCTTGAGTTTCTACTATATACCCATTATTGTGGGCACCGGTTCCACTGGTAACATTCTATAGGTTTTTGTATTTTTCAAAACGAAAATACGCAAACTTTCGTCTAGTTTCTATTTGGCTGCTTTGGCTGTTAGTGATACTTGCTTTTTGTTTGGTCTATTCGTCCAGTGGCTTAACTTTGTCGAGGTTCACATCTATAATCATAAATACTTTTATCAGTTCTTTACATTTTTCAGTAATTTGGCATGGTTTTGTTTAGTTTAGTTTGTGGTTTCTTTTACCGTGGAACGTTTTATAGCGATTATGTATCCGGCGGATACTATCCGCTGAGAAGTCAGACCATGTGTACAGTGCAAAGGGCCAAAATGGTATTGGTTGGTTTTACTGATATTGGGTTTTTTGCATTGTCCCCTTTTTTGGGTTTCCTCAACGCCGGTATATTCCCCTAAAGTGGGAACTACAATATGTGATATTAAAAGTGAATATAAACGTAAGTGAATTTTAGACTAATTTTATGTATAGAATTTTAAGATTAATACCAGCACTTTAAATGATTTTTTGACAATAAACTGACTTTCCATAAAAAGGGCTGTATGAAAGGTAGTGTCAATTATGGACCGATCCTCATGCAACTTGGTAAATATATATATTTTTGTTCTTACAGAACTTGTTTCTATCATCGCAATACTGGTATTTTTAAGCCAGTTATGAACTGTAAAATAATTTTGGAAGGCGACCTTACATTGGGGATAAGGTCAAATGTGGTCCTGATTTATACTTAAATCATAAGAAGTAGAATTAGTGCTTCGTGATTTAAACAAATCAAAGGTTTTAGACTCTTATACTTTGACATTGTGAACAATATTTCGAGGCGTTAAAAACGTATAGACAAAATCACCTCACTCCCAATTTTATACCCTTTACCTTCGTGAGAAGTTTATATATAAGTTTATTATTCAGTTGATAATACCAAAAATTAAATTTTTGGGAACTTTAAAGGTATATAAACAATTTGTAAAGCCTAATAGGTATCGAAGTCGGTTTAGCGATGTCCGTCTGTCCGACTACAAAAACCCCCGTTTTTTAAGTAAAGTTTATTATTAAATGTCCGTCTGTATGTTTATTCAAATCAATTTTCTGAAAATTACAGATATCTTTTGGAACCACATCTTCAACAATTCTGTCAGACATGCTTTCGAGAAGTTTCCTATTTAAAATCACCAAAATTGGTCCGTAAATGACGGATATATGAGCAAAAATCCGAGACAACCTCTGAAAATGTAAACAAAAATTATGTTTTTTTGTGCATGCTTAGACAAAACGAAATAACAACAAGTCAGAGTGCTATATTCGGCTATGCCGAATCTTAAATTTTTATGAAAACCCTTATAAATATTACTAGATATTTATTTATTTTATTTCATTCGTAATTCTTTAAAATTGCAAGTGACCCCATGAACTGATTAACTAGAATCACACATTCATTGTTGTTCATTTAATTATAATATTGACATAACTTTTAATTTGGAAACTAAATATTTAAAAAATACTAATGATATAGTGAAATACATAAAAAAAATGTATCATGGTGAAATATATTATGGGCCTTTTAATCACCATTAACAAACAAGAAAAAAGGAAAATAAAAACCAAATAATTTTAAAAATTAACTACGATATTTTTAAGGCTCAATAAGTCCTTTTTTCATTATACCCTAAACCACCATAGTGGGGAGGGTATTATACGTTTGTGTTGATATTTGTAACGCACAAAAATATTGGTCCTACACCCACCGATCGACTCAGAATCACTTCCTGAGTCGATTAAGCCATGTCCGTCCGTCTGTCCGGCTGGCTGTCCATGTAAACCTTGTGCGCAAGGTACAGGTCGCAATTTTCAAGATATTTTGCTGAAATTTGGACCATGTGTTTTTCGGACCAACGACGAAGCCTATTGAAAATGGTTGAAATCGGTCCATTATTTCACCTAGCCCCCATACAACCCTACCCCCCCGGAAAGGGCTTTTGAGTTCATAATTATGTTAAATATTGTAGTATCTCTATAAAAAAACGGCAAAACTTAGTTACAGATTTTCGTAATTATCAGACATTATTTAAGCCTAGCCCCCATACAAAGTCCCCTTCAGAAAATGACTTGATGGTCAATAACTCACTAATAAACACTAGTATCACGATGAAATCCAGCATACATAACTCTAATGTAAACGTAAAGCCATGTACCAAAAATTATAGGGATAGACCCATACTTATCCTTGCCGCCATATAACCTCTCTTTTAGAAAATTACTTTTTTAAACAAATTGTTAAAACATTTCGGAATTAAGGTAAACAACTTAGAACAAGTTTTTGAGTTGGCAATCAAATGCCAATTAATAATTAGATTAGTTAATCTAAAAATAAATTTAATCCGATGTTAATACCATTTGATGTTTTTGAGTACAAGATTAAAATTTCGCAGTGTTGCCATACAAAACAACAAAAAACGTCACTGTTTGTTATCAAAACAATGCATGTTTTTTTTTTTTTTTAAAAAAAAAGAAGAAGAAAATTTATATTTAATATGAAAATTAATGAAAACTTAAATTTAAAACAAAAAAATTTATTTTGAAGTGTCCGTAATTTATTCTAATCAATAAATAGAACATTTTAATGTTTATTTTTATAAAAATTGTATTAATTTTTTGCTCTAGTTTAAACCACCTCCATTGGGCGCTTAAACTTGCAAACAGAATTAACTAATTGAGTACTCAAAAACAACTTTCGAGGATTAATTTTAATTTAATCGCTAATCTTTCACCTAAAGATTGGCCCTTAAATGCTTTGTTATTAAATATAATCCACATTTTTAAAATACTCAGTGGTGTAGGGTATCATATGGTCGGCCATGCCCGACTATACTTTACTACTTGTTTTAGCTTGATTTCATGTAAAAATTATTTAGAACATTATTAGGAAAATAATATAAATATTTGATGTTTTATATGCTCTTTAAACTGTTCCTTTTTTTGCAGGACTATATAACGCTACTTAATTATTGGGATACAATTGTTGTATTTGTGGTTCCCTTTACAACGATTGCCGCTTTGAATACATTCACTGGCCACAGTCAGAAGGACTTTAACTATGCAAAAATTGAAAGTATGAAAAGTACAACTTCTCCTGGAATTTCAGCATTAAAAAAGTCAACATGACTACATTGTATTTTGAATATAAAAGGGTTTCCAGTATAGGTGAGGCGATATTCAGAGTTTCTCTTGGTTCTTTAATAAAAACATTTGAACCGCTTAAGGTTCTAATTAAGAACTTTATAGTTAAATGCCTGAATAGTAGATGGTTGGTTTGGTAAATAACCTTTCAGTTCAAACCTTTTGAGTCAAGGAAACACCAGATCGTTCACCAATGTAGTGTTGCTGAAGGATTCAAATTGTCTTCTTTAACGAACATCCTTTTTTACAAAGCAGTTTTCTTTTGGAAGTGATGTTCTGTCACGTGACTTTTAATGGTATTTTGCCATTTGTGAGTTATAAAGATTATGTCATTGGAAACCCCTTTATGTATCAAGACATTTTACTGCATATAAAGTATATATTTTGCATACAACAATTTTACTTTATCGCCAAAACCATTTCGCATGACAACAATTTCCTTACAATTTCTTTTTTCAGAAAAACTCAGCTTTTGGCGATTCATGATACTTTGTCATCTCCCTCATCTTCTTGTTCGGCAGGAGAAAGCGGATCTATAGCAGCAACAACTGGAACAGAAGCTATTTCAACATATCGTATTACGACATCATCATTAAAACGACCGAAAACAACATCTTGTATGAATGCATCACCACCCTCGAATGGGCAACAACATAATAATATTGCAACACATCATCAACACTACCATCATCACCAGTGTGATAAACATCACACACATCCCCATCCAAATCGAGCAACCAGGATATGATATACATATTCTCCAAAAAATCAAGTAAGTTGGAATTAACTTTTATCCTTTAGTCATGGTGTCTTTACTGTCACTTCTTAAGAAATGTTACAAAGTTGCTCATTATCAGTTTGATGAACATCGTAATATGCTTTTCGTAAAAAGACAATGAAATTTAAAGATTTCTAAGAATAGACATACATAGTCAAGATTTTTACATCAGAAGAAACGTTTCATGACAAATGGAAAGTGTCAAATTATCGAAGAGACTTTTTGGATAGGGATTAGTAGGAATCTTCTATTAATTGTGTGTGTATGTTGAATAGATTTTTTTGCCAAAATTAAGTTTGAGTAAATGTGTATATTCATGGGAAAAAAATGAGTTACATTGATATTGTTAACAATGCACAGTGGGATCCCCCTGAACAAAACTTGGCATTAACTAAACTACAATGTTTTGGTATAAATTATGGGTATCGATGGATAGAGGAAGTCCTCTAGATACGAATTAAAAAAAGAAAAAGTTGCACTTAATGCAATTTTTTTGCATAATTTTCAAAACAAAATTTTCCAAAATTTTATTTAAGAAATATTTTTATTACATTTATAAATATCCTAATTACTTTCGCGAAAGACTAAATTTAATGCATCTTCTGGAAGATTTCTGGATTTTTTTTTAGGGAAAGTTCTTTTTACAGTTATAAAGGGATCCGAATTAATTAATAAAAAATTTAAAATATCTTTCATATTTTGTATTCGGCTGCGGGAATTCTGTTCTCGGTTTTTTATGAATAGTTTGTTCGTGGCTTCTTGAGCTTCTTCCGACATATCTGCTACGCTTAATTTTGAATTTTGTACAACTTTGCTACTGTGAATTAAAATTTTATGTAAAGTTGGTGACATCCAAAACCAGTTATATTTTTCTACAAACAAACCCTCATGAGAGTTACTCTTCTTATCACGGATTTTTCCGTACAAATAGATTCCCTCTAATAATTTTGCAAAACATATTTACAGGAATTTAAGACCAATAATGCATCAATCAATAGCACGTTCAGCCATTAATTTACTAGTTTCTACTATTTTACTTATTACTTAAATCAATTCATTTCGCATTCAATAATTAGATTTTAAATAAAATAGAAATATTTTCATAGGATGGAGTGTTAGAAAAGAGAGCGTAAATGCCGCAGAGGCAAAAAGAGGCAAACATTTTTATTTTGGTGTTATTGAGAAGATTTCAGAGTATCTTTAGCATATGGTCGCTTAGAGGCCATCAGTGGCCAAATTGTACTTTTTCGCTTTTATAAATTGAAAAAAAAACATAAATATCTATAAAAAATTGCATTTTAAGAAGTCGTTAATAATTAAGTCTCTGGCTGTAAAGATGATTTAAAATAACACCTTTTCATACAGTGGTATATTTGGTATCGAAAAAGAAAATTTTAAGAAATTTTATATTAAATGGTAGATTCGTACAAAAATGTTGTGGTATTAAATTAAATAAAACAAGTAAGAGTGTTATATTCGGCTATGCCGAATCTTATATACCCACCATCAAACCTCGTTTGACTAGAATGAAACTTACTTATGTCGAATTTCATCTATATTCTCGTATTTTTTAGGCCAGTTATAAGCGTTAAAGTAATTTTCTGAAGAGGACCTTATATAGGGGGTAGGGCCAATTATGGGTCGATCCTAATATAATTTGGTAGACAGAATTTGGTTCGTATTAAATTTATTTGTGTCGAATTTCATCGCTACACTCGTATTTTTAAGCCATTAATACCAAATTTTCTAAAGGGGACCTTATATGGGGGGTAGGGTCAATCATGGACCGATCCTCATAAAATTTTTTAGATAGATTTTGACTCGTATGAAACTTACTTATGTCGAATTTCATCTATATACTAGTATTTTTAAGCCAGTAATGAGCGTTAAAGTCATTTTCTGAAGGGGACCTTATATGGGGGGTAGGGTCAATTATGGACCGATCCTCATAAAATTTTGCATAATGATTTTGGATCATAAGAAACTTACTTATGTCGAATTTTATCGCTATATTCGTATTTTTAAATAAGTTATGGCTGTTAAAGCTGCTTTTCGAGGGGCCACTTGTATGGGGGCTATCAGAAAATGTGGACCGATATTGCCCATTTTCAATACCAAACAAAATCCAGTTTTTACCTGTAAGAAATATTTATGTGAAATTTCAACCCTCTAGCTCTTTCCATTGGGACTCTATCGTGCTTTCAACAGACAGACAGGCAGACGGACGGACGGACAGACATGGCTAGATTGACTTAGAATTTAATGAGGACCCAGAATATATATACTTTTGTGGGTCTATGACCAATATTTCGATGTGTTACAAACGGAATGACAAAATCAATATACCCCCCATCTTTTTTGATGGTGGGTATAAAAATTTCTTGAAAAATATATATAAAAACATAAACTTTGCTGCATCATCTAAAGGCCTATACAATAAAAATGGGAAAACTAATGATAGCGTTATATAGAATAAAGTCTTAGCTTTCCAGGCATATTAAATTTTTATCAAAAAATTCATTTCTAAATATTTACTTTATGCCAAGTTTACTTAAAGGAGACCCCAATGTGCAATGTTGGGTCTTTGTAAGATTATAAGATGATCGAGTCAAGTCCGTCTATCTGTTGAAATACATATGTATGTATGTATGTTGTGTTGATGCAATTTGGTTTTGAAAATGTACAATATCGCTTCATGATCTACCTTAGATGCATAGAACAATTTAGTTTGGAGGCTTCGATATACACACATGTTTAGATGCTCGGTACAAAAGATTCGACACAATAAACAAAATAAACATTTTCTATTTGTTCTTATAATTTTATATTTTGTTCATTTATTTTCCTTTACAGAAAGATGGAAAAAAATTACGAATTCATCACAATTGAAGGTTACAAAAACGTTGTTGATTGTTTCAACTATCTTTGTTTGTTTGAATTTACCAAGTTTTTTTATGAGAATGATTACATTCTTGTAGGTAAGAAAATATTTACTTATAAAATTAAATATATAAAACGCCAGTACTCCATTTCTGTATTTATACCCTACACCACTTTAGTGGGGAGAGTATATTGGGATTGTGCTGATGTTTGTAAAACACAAAATTATTAAAGTATATCAATTAGCTTGGAATCATTTTCAGAGTTGATTAAGCCATGTCCATCCATCCATGTAAACCTGGTTATCAAAGTACAGGTCGAAATTTTTAAGATAATTTGATGAAATTTGGCAAAAAAAAAGTTTTGTGGTTCAGCCTATTGGAAATGGTTGAAATCGGTTCATAATTTCATCTATTCCCCATATAACTGAACCCCCGAATAATAGTTGTAATCTTATAATAATGTCATATGCAAGTATATTAGTATCTCGAAAAATATCGATATAACTAAGTTTATAATCGGACTTCATTTGATCCTAGCCCCAATACAAAGACCCCTTCAGAAACTGATTTTGATATCCACAAACCACTTATAAACCTAAGCATAAATCCATCTTACAACGCCTCTTTCAGAAAATTAGTTTTTCATCAACAAAGATGTATTCAAATACATATGTATGTATATCATAATTGAAGTAAAACAAGTAGGAAAGTATAGTCGGGCATGGCCGACCATATAATACCCTACACCATGAGTATATTTTAAAAAATTTTATTTTTCATAAAGAAACTTTTATGTTGAATTTTACCTTAATTCCAAGTATTTAAGCAATTTATTGATAAAAAAAACTAATTTTCTAAATATAAATATATAATTATATAGTAGTATAGGTCAAACATGGGCCTATACTCATTCAATTTGGGAAAAGGATATATTTTTAAATAATAGTTAGTTATGTTGAGTTTCATTGCGATACAAATGGTTACAAGTCAATTTTAGACGTTTAAGAAATTTTTTGAAGGGGGTTTGTATGGGGGCTAGGGTCAAATAAGGGCCGATCATTACGAAAATCTACAGTGTCATTTATACTTATATAAAACATATTTGTGCCAATTTTTAGAGAGATAATAGTATATTTGAGGTAATTACGGCATAAAAAGCCCAAATTGGGAGGTACGGTTGTATGGGGGCTAGGTGAAATAATGGACCGATTTCAACCATTTTCAATAGGCTTCGTCCCTGTGCCAAAAAACATGTTTGGTCCAAATTTAATCAAATTATCTTGAAAATTGCGGCCTGTACCTTGGGCACTAGGTTTACATGGACAGCCAGCCAGCCGGACAGACGGACGGACATGTCTTAATCGACTCAAAAAGTGATTCTGAATCGATCGGCATACTTTAAGGCGGGTGTAGGACCAATATTTTTGTGTGTTACAAACATCAGCACAAACGTATAATACCCTCCCCACTATAGTGGTGTAGGGTATAATTATATATAACTGTTTCAATATGCAAAATAAACCACATTTTAAATTCATAACAGGTGTAGTGTATATAATAATCGGCCATGCTCGACTATAATTTCTTATTTGTTTTTGAATTCAGCATAAATGTTGGAAAATTTATGATCATCTTGTATAAAAGAGGGTGAATACAAGTAAAAAGGGGGTTTACTCTGTAACTCGATTCTAATGAAAAAATTTTCGAATTTGTATGTTAAATACATCCCAGCAAAAAAATTTTGAAGTTGTTAAAGAAGAAGGGATATTTTCATGATTTCTTTAGTAAGTATTCTATTTAATGCGTTTTAAATACATGCCTAAATTCTAAAAAATTTGTCATCAGTGAAGGCATGAAAAATGAACCCAAATTCACTCATGTAACTCCACTATAGGAATTGTAATATTTTACTGTAATTTGGTATTCTCTTAGGAGATTTAACGAAAACGTGCATTTCATACAATAAAGATTAAAAATGACATTAATTTTTTATTAGATTTTTGTTAAAATTAGTAATATTAAGTCCATTAATAAGAGAAG